AATATTGCTTCCAGTTCTAATGCTCGGACAAGGGCTTCGCTACTTTGTCTGAACTTGGACATTCTTAGGTTTTCCTGGATCTTCGAATCTCTGAGACCATCAATAAACGCAGATACTGCCATCCATTCCTGCATGTCTTCCCCAGCTGCAGGAAACGCCAAACTCACTAGCCTTTTAACTTCCGATTCGAATTCTTGTAGACTCTCGCCGGGTTTTTGAACTCTTGATTTAACTTGAGTTCTGAATACTTCTTGTCTGTAATGGTCTCCGAAGCGCAGTTCTAAAGTTTGACTAAGATGCTGGTAATTCTGCTGGTAGACTGAAGGAATGGACTGAAGAAGGTCTAAGGCAGGTCCTCGTAGCGCCACTATTAGTGCTGTAGCTTTTTCTTGGTCGTTCCATCCGTTGGTATTTGCAGCAGCTTCAAATTGTCGAATATACATGGTCCAGGACGTAGAACCGTCGAAAGTTGGTGGTTTTATCTTCATACTGGAGAATGCTCCAACACTAGCTGGATTGATGGACTGTATTTCTAATCTACGCATCTTATCTTCGAGTGCTTGAACTTGGTCCTCAACTTCTTGTCTTAATTGCTGAACATCGGCTTTGACCTCAGCTTTAACTCCCTGAACGTCGTTTTTAACTTCTTGAACATCGATTTTGACTTCAGTTTTTACTTCCTGAACGTCGTGTTTAACTTCTTGCACATCGTCTTTAACTTTTTCAATCTTCTGGTCTAGGTTAGCGACAGTTCCTTGTATGGTTTGGAATATCTTCTGTAGTTTTCCAAGGTCTTCTTGCCGTTCTTGTTGTCGCCTAGCTTCTTCTTCTTGTTTTTCTTTTTGTCGTCTGGCCTCTTCTTGTTGTCGTCTAGCTTCTTCGTCTTGTTTTTCTTGTTGTCGTCTGGCTTCTTCGTCTTGTTTTTCTTGTTGTCTTCTAGCTTCTTCTTGTTGTCGTCTAGCTTCTTCGTCTTGTTTTTCTTGTAGTCGTCTGGCTTCTTCGTCTTGTTTTTCTTGTAGTCGTCTAGCTTCTTCGTCCTGTTTTTCTTGTTGTCTTCTAGCTTCTTCGTCTTGTTTTTCTTGTTGTCGTTTGGTCTCTTGAAGTTCCAACATTTTGCGCAGGAGTTCTTCAACTTTTTGTTCGTCCATTTTGGCTTGTTGTCTTGTGATAGGCATATACAGAATGTTCTAGAATTTCCCTCGAACTTTCTTCAAATATCTTTTCTGGTCTTTGCTCGAAGTTCCAAACACGCCGGTGAAGTCACAAATTGGATAACTTGCCTTATTCTAGAATAGAATGTTCTGGAATTTTCTTGAAACTTCTTTTCTAGATGTCGATTGATACAGCAAACACGTTGGTGAAGTCACAATTTCGATATCTCCCTTGGTTTCCAAATAGAATGTTCTAGAATTTTCCCGAAACTCCTCGAAAAACTTCTTCTGAATGACGATTGATGTTCCGAATGCGTCGGCGAAGTCACAAATTCGATATCTCCCTTAGTTTCCAAATAGAATTTTCTAGAACTCACTCGAAGATTCACTATCACAGTCTAAATCGGGGATAGAGTCACTTCCGGGGTAATTCACACGATCGGTTGAGTCTCTTTTTGTGATTGTCACTGTTTGCACTGCACTAACTGTCCCAGTGTTCACTTAGTGTTTAGTTTTTACACTACACTAGTGTCCCCACACTTCCGCAATTGGATTTCACTCTGCAGTCCTTTATATCCCACTTCTTGGCACCAATGTCGCGGCTTTGGGTTGCCTGCTGACAAAATTCTTGGGTTCGTTGTTCGTTTCGTTTATTCCAAAAATCAAAGTCCAATTAACACAGCAATAATTTATTCCACTTAACAAAACACTCTGACACTAATTACTTTATTAACAAACTCAACAATTCAACTCTTTACAATCACTATTTAAATCGTATCACACTCGAACTGAAACTAAACTACAAACCAATGCCGGCCTTCTTATATATCCCTAAATCTATTCCTGTAAAATCTAGAATACACGATAATATTATTTTCCCGAATTAAGTAGAATAATTCACTAGATTCTAGTATACTCAAGAGATAATACCGAGAGATTCTTGACAGCCTGGCGGACGTTTAGCTTATTGTGACAGTATGTAACCCAAGTTTGAGGGTAAATTTAAGTAGCCCTAGTGGCCTTTTACGTATCCCGAAAGTTTCAATTTTAAATTCCGCATATTAAGAAAGTTGGACGTCGACATCGATTACGTGCACATTCCTATTCTTTATTATTATTTCAACGTAACCTCTAAAATAATGAAACTTATAAATAAATTGTGTTTATTGTGTTTATTTTATGGTAATTTTTCTATATAGTTCCGATTTTTCTTATAATAATCAAAAATAATCGGAAAAATATTCAATAAAATAATCAAGTCAGCCAAGGAGCCAGCTTCACAGAGGCGACTGCGTTCCCGAACATGTACTAATTTTTAGGAGCTGGATTTTAGGAGCTAGCGTAACGTACATTCAACCTTTACCAAAAAGTCAAGTAAAAAAATGTGACAGGAAGCCTCAGCTGTATTAAATACGGTGCCCGGTGGCAGATGCTCTTCTTCGCGCCACCAAATAGCCCTCTTCAGCATCATAGGTCTTCAAAAGTAGCTTAATTTAGTCGATTTTTTTTTACAAAAGCCCGGTCACTACGGACAAAGGGCACAAAGGCATAAAATCGTGGCCTTACTGCGAGGTTTTTGTTAAAAGCCTTTCTAGTTCAAGGCGAGTCAGCACATTGTTGTTAATAACGTTATTGAAATTCATATTTATAAAAATCACCACAATATTCGAACTTATTTCAGTGAACGTGGACTGAACTATCAAAATTAAAATAAATTGACAAATTGACATGACTTGCGTATGCGTAAATGGACTTGCGATCGGTATACCCCCATGCGCAAAAGTTGCGATTGCTGCAAAGTCATATACGCTCGCAGTGCATTTCAAATAAGCCGTGCACTAATTTTCAATCGCAAAATGATGGCATTTGCGTGTACGCAAAGTTGCATCAATTTCAAATAAAGCCCCCCTGACTGGTTTGTGATTTCTGCAGAAACAGACCTAATACCGGGTGCCCACGAGATCACTTTCCGGCTGCCATTTTTTATTTCTCTATCGATATCAACGAAACTTGGTAGGGTTGATATTCTAACCAAACGCCATTTTTATGCATTTATGACAAGTTTTCCTGACTTCCAGTTTCACCGGAAATGACCGCAACTTTTGATTTTTGAATTGCACACCCTGTATATTTTTTGTTTTTCGGATTCTACATATCGTTTCACATCCTAATGCACCACTTTTGAATGGATTTTTGTCCAAATTTTGTTTTTAAATTAAATTTTTATTTTTTAACTAGAGTGCCATGATCATCCTAAAATGACTCTAGATACCTTACTTATGGCCGTTTGCACCGAAAATTTTAAGGGATAACGATAATCAAGGCTTAAAGTGACATTTATACATGTAAAAATGTCACTTTAAGCGTTGATTATCTTTAAACCTCCCTTAAAATCGTCGGTGCAAACGGCCATTAATTTCAGAAAAATACAAACTCAATTTTATCTTTGTGAATTTTTTTGATAGAGGGCTGTAAACTTCATTATTTTAGTATTTTTGCACTAGCTCAAAAACTAAAATAGAAACATATCACTTTCATAACATTACTAAATGCAGTATTCTGAAGCGAATCCAACGACATAATACACTACGACATTTTTCTTAAATTTCATTCAAATATTTTTGTGTTATTATGTAGGTAATTTTTTTTTTCTACTTGAAATTTCATTTGAAAGCGAAATTGGGACAAAACTCGATTTAAAAGTGGTACATTAGGACGTAAAACGATCTGTAGAATCTAAAAAACAAAAAATATACAGGGTGTGTCATTTGAAAATCAAAAGTTTCGGTAATTTCAGTCAGGAAAACTTGTCATAAATGCATAAAAATGGCGTTTCGTTAGAATATCAAGCCTAGCAAGTTTCGTTGATATCGAAGAACAAATAAAAAAATGGTAGCCGGAAAGTAATCTCGTGGGCACCCGGTATAATCGAGCAATAGAAAAAAATCCGCAATTCGGGGTTATGAGTACTAGGCTTGAAGCTCCATTCTCAGTTGCGCGAAATTCGCTCTTTTTTTTGATATTGCTTCGACAATTTGACTTTTGATACACGCATAAAACGTCAAATTGTCGAAGCAATGTCAAAAAAAAACAGCGAAATCCGCTCTTTTTTGACATGGCTTCGACAATTTGACGTTTTATGCGTGTATCAAACGTCTAATTGTCGAAGCAATGTCAAACAAGAGCGAATTTCGCGCATGAGAATGAGGCATTACACCGGAGCGAGTAGCTCGAGCGTTCTTGAAAGGAATACAACTAAATAGCGAGTCATCTCCGGGTTGGTTTTAACTCAAGGGTACACGTGTCCAGTTGCTATGTTTACCCTGGACTCTGGAGTTATGCTTAGCCCGGGGGTGACTTGCTATTGAGAAACCAGCCCTGAGAATGAGGCTTTAAGCTTACTTTTCATGCATCCGTTTTTCCGTTGATCCGGAAGTATTCCTATTAGTCCAATATTTTGGCGCCACAATATTGGACCAATAGGAATACTCCCGGATCAACAGACTGACGGAAAAACGAATGCATGAAAAGTAAGCTTAAAGCTTACTTTTCATGCAAGCTTTGCTTTAAGCTTACTTTTCATGCATCCGTTTTTCCGTCAGTCCATTGATCCGGGAGTATATTATCCAATATTTTGTATATTATCCAATATTTTGGCGCCAAAATATTGGACCAATAGGAATACTTCCGGATCAACGAATTGACGGAAAAATGGATGCATGAAAAGTAAGCTACGTGATTCCAACGTCAAATTGTCGAAGCAATTTCCAAAAAGAGCGAATTTCGCGCAAGTGAGAATGAAGCTTTAAACATTTAAACTATTTTTTTCCGCGCACAGAGGCACGAGTCGTGGAAAGCCGCCTTTAGATTTCTAATTCTAACCTAACCTCACTTTTCTAACTTAAATAAACAGGGATTTTGAATTTTTAGTTTTTTTCGATTATCAAAAAATGATTCGAAATAGTTTAAATTCATTATTTAAATCATTTACAATAAGCAGTGAATCCTCCGTAATAAATTCCACTAGAACAATAATTACAAGTAGTTCACTATTTAGAAATGTTGTTGATAGAAAAGAGATGCTCAGATCCCTGCCAGCAACAGACGAAGGTACAGGAGGAGAAAATAATACGGCCGTTGATTCCCTAATACGTAATAAGCAACAACTATTTCCTACCGCTGATTCACTGAATAAAATGTTCAATGGTGTACCATTCAAAGACCTTCCGATTGTCAACATTCGTGTTACATCTAATAATACAATAATCAGTTTTACTGATTCGAAAGGTGTCCCAAAAATAATTAGGTCTTGCGGAATAGAAGGATTCAAAAATACCAGAAAAGGGACTAATGTTGCTGCACAAACAACTGCTATTACGTTTGGTACAAAAACATTGGAAAGGGGTGTGAAAACTGTAAGTAATTCTTCAAATTTATTTGTTTATACACTGAAATTACTTAGTATTCCTAGGAATATTTATTGCTGACTTCTTGCTGGTTACAGCAATCATTATTATAAAGTTGACTGTCTTTACACTTCCACAAGTTGTAAGTTTTGGGCCCCTCAAATTTCCTAAGATCTTATCAATTTATTCAGCCAGACTACAGACTGAGCTACATTGTGATACCAGTTCTACAGTAGCTACCAAAACATGTTTGAGAAATTCATGCTTTTCGGTGATTCGGTCCTGCATTAACTTTATTTTCAATAGTTTTGACTATTTAAGCATCTGCAATCGTTATCAAGATCAAACTTAAACTTATCTGAAAATCTAACTATAATTCAAACAATTTGCTGCTGTTAGGGAAAACCCAATGTTATTTGCTTTATGTACGACCCACACTGTAAGAGCTTATTACGTAACTCATTTTAACCTGAGTTAGGTATGTAATAGGTTGTATTATCGTCGAGATTATCGTATTGGTGATGTAATGATCTAATTACTAATCACGTAAGTCAATTTTATTGAAAAACAGCACTTTTCAAAATTCATCTATCCGAAAAAATTCCAAATATAATATATATATATATAATAGATCTTCATTGAACGAATACAGTGCAAAAGGCCATTGACCGAGGTCCTTCAGCCTATCCAAATATAATATAATCCATTGTGAAAAATTAAAATCATTTCGAATACATTAAAAAAAATCTGGGACGTACATAAAATGTTGTATATCACACATACGGTGTACTATTAGAAATATAAGGTGACAGTTTGCGTGTTTAGTTAGTCCAATATGCTGTTAAAACCCCCTATGATATTTGTTTTTACTTGATCCCACGTTCTACCAGTGAAAGTAACTACTGTCATCAGCAAAGCATCTGGACCTGTGCTGGAGCTGATGTAAGAAATAAATAAAATTGGGCCCAACAGCATTTCTTGTTGACCACTATTTTGATCTCTATTCTGCTCTCTATCTGCTGGTTTGTGATTTCTGTGAGAACAGGCCAAGGAACAGACCTATAAATATAAGTAGAAGTTAAAGTAACACACATTTTGTTCAACATAAAATTTATCACCTGCTTAAACTTTCAAAATCAGCTAAATCAATAAAATATTCTGTGAGCATATATATAAAGATGAAAATCGATTATTTGCAGGGATAAGACCTCTATCAAGTTAGCAATACTACATGCACGCCGGAAAATGGCGTTAAGTGATTAATATGTCGCTTTTTTGTCGTAAATTTGTTGTGCAACAAAAAAAAAATTGTCGCGTTTTTTTTTTCTCAACTACCAAGTTGAATACCCTGGTATAGTGCTAACTTGATATCAAGTTAGCACTACCAGCGTCACCCGATATTCCTACAGAAGTTTCATTAAGTGAATAATTTGTCGCTTTTTTGTCGTAAAGGACCCCTCACACCTCTTATGGGTTTTTGGTTTTCTGTCAAACTCAATGAAATTTTGATATGTGTTAGACTTTGACTTCCTGATAAAAAGTTCTCATGGGCCCGAACCAATCCTATGATTAGTTTTTGAGATACAGGTACTTTAATGTCCAAAAAATGTACACATTTTATATGTGTTCACATCTACCAGTCACCTAATAATAGGTCTGTTTCTGCAAAAATCACAAACCCGTCAGAGCGAATTTGATTGGTCGAAAACAGTCAGAAACAGTCAGAAAACTAGTTTCAACCAATGAAATTCACTCTGAAAGACCTATTGATAGGTGACAGGTAGATGTGAACGCATATAAAATGTGTACATTTCTTGGATATTAAACCACCTGTATTTCGGAAACTATTCATAGTATCGGGTTGGGCCCATGAGAACTTTTTATCAGTAAGTCAAGATATACCACATATCAAAATTTCATTGAATTTGACAGAAAACCAAAAACCCATAAGAGGTGTGCTTTGTAGTGCAAAAAAAAAAATTGTCACTTTTTTCTTTCTTAAATACCTACCCTTTGGTAGTGCCAGCTTGATATCAAGTTAGCACTACCAACGTCACCCGATATTCCTACAGAAGTTTTATTGAGTTAATAATTTGTCGCTTTTTTGTCGTAAATTTGTTGTGCAAAAAAAAAATTGTCGCGTTTTTTTTTTTTTTTAATACCGAGTTGAATAGGTACCCTGGTATAGTGCTAACTTGATATCAAGTTAGCAGTACCAACGTCACCTGATATTCCTACAAAAGTTTTATTAAGTGAATAATTTGTCACTTTTTTGTCGTGCAAAAAAAAAGTGGCGTTTTTTTTTTCTTAAATACCCGGGTAGTGCTAACTTGATATCGTATTTAAGGCGGTGACACACTGGAGAAATAAGTTTCATGAAACTTATTTCACCACTGTGTCACCCATCTAAGAAAAAAAAAACGCGACATTTTTTTTTTTGCACGACAAACTTACTACAAAAAAGCAACAAATTATTCACTAAATAAAACTTCTGTAGGAATATCGGGCGACGTTGGTAGTGCTTGCTAACTTGATATCAAACTAGCACTACCAGGGTATTTAAGAAAAAAAAACGCGATAATTGTTTTTTTGCACGACTTAACGCCATTTTCCGTCGTGCATGTGGTATTACTAACTTGATAGACGTAGAGATAAGAGCTTCAAATATCCATAACTAACCTGTATCTTGTGTCATTGTTTTTGAATTTGCGAAATTGTAGCCACTAGAATTTAGATACATAAAAATATTGACAAACATATTAGGTACTTAAATACTAATATAAAAACAAAATTATACTTATGTTGTTATCTATGTTCCCTTTTTCCAGGTTCGAGTAAGAGTTCGTGGACTAGGCCCTGGTAGGATGTCAGCTATAAAAGGTTTACAAATGGCCGGACTTGATATTGTTTCGATAACAGACAGTACAAGAGTATCGTGGAACCCTCCAAGAGCAAGAAAACAGAGAAAGCTCTAAGCTTTTTAAAATTAAGTTTTGTTATAAATGTAATACTTTAGAAAATATATTATTTAAATCCCCGAAAACCAAGATTAAATCTGTCAAACCTAAAACCAAGCCATTAGAAAACAAAAATCATGTAGTGAAAAAATATATCACCTCATCGTCCTTGCAGCCTAAGCAAAAGAAATGTGGCTACTCACAAATGCATATAAATATCGTATTACCAAATATAACCAACCTATTGTTTTTCAGGGAATCGGTAACATAAACACACAGCAGGTACATAGAAATTCTTGTCCCTATACAATATACATTACATTTTACTGTTGGAAAAATTTAATTAACTTGTTGAAGTAACTAAAATGAATAAAAGAAGTAAGATAATTAAATGCTTTGAGATATTACAAAAATTAGATTGCAAGCTTGTAAAGAGGTAGGTGGAATACCAAATAACCAAATAAGTGTTTGAAGTAGTTTAGTAATGTGTTCAAATTGAATTATTGTAATAAACCCATGTTTATCAAGGGTGATCAATAAAATGATCATATGGAAACGTTTTAAAGTTTTTTAAAAATATTTTCAATTTTTTTTAAAAATTTATTTGGATTAATTTCTAAATTTCGAGCATAATTAGTACATGTTGCATGTCCTTCTCCAAAATTGAAATGTTATTGTCAATTTGAAATTTTGGATGCAAAATATTGCGAAACCAAAAATAAATTTATACCAACACAAATAATAGGAAATATTGGAATTTTTACTTTGAATGCATAAAAAATTCAATAAGGGGACCTGGATCGAGTGTCTGCCTAATAGTTTCCCTCTTTCCAATCCTCCTGTTGCAGCATAGCTTCAACCAAATATTTTGATTGGGCATATCGGATTCTCTTCTACAGAAAACAAAAAGAAACTGCTGGAATTACACATGTTTCTCGTCGCTCGAAACTGAGGCACATAAAGAAATATGAAACGTAAAACATAAAACATGAAACAATAAATTACGAAAAGCGAAACCGCTTCTTTCTTGCGTACTAATTAAAGAAACAATAATAATGTTTGCAAAGTCTTTTGGTAGTGGAGTGTAGAGTATAGCACACATTGGAAAGCGATGACGAGCTTGTTGTTGCTGTTGTGGCAACTCTTTTTTTCTTTTCTTACGACGTTACTTATGGGTACATCCATACCTTCGACCATCTATACAATCATGCACTTTTCACCTCTTTTGCCAGGCTTTTTCTTGTGATTGTCTATTCGAGTACCTACTTCTCTATGGTATAATTTTGCAATTCTCCATATTGCTCTACCACCGAAACGAACACAATATCAATTCAATTCAATATTCATTTTATTATGAATGTATTCATGGCCAAAAACAGTGAAACTGAAACAGAAAAATAGAACGCGATCTATTTCATAAAAAACCTCTCAAGCAATAAACAATAAACATATATGTTTCACGCGCGGACTTCTATTTGTTTGGCCTTATTCCATTTTCATGAAACGTGTTTCACGTTTTATGTTTCATGTTTAACGTTTCAAGTTTCTTTGATGTGCGGCCTCCCTAAATATAGGTACAATTACAATAGAATTTATAGACACTCAAATTTTTGGGCTCTTTTCAGAAGAATACCACTCAAAAACTAGTACTTAGGCCGATTTTGTTGAAACTTTCAACGGAATCAGGTTTTTTCAATTTCTACTTTGGTAATACATTTCCACCCACTTGCTCAAAGATACCGAATGAAACATAAGTTGGTGTATTTCTTACAAAACTGTGAGTAAACTTTGTTTTGCTAAAGGAAGGGTTAGTTAGGTGAACTTTTGGTGTCCAGTTAAAAGAGTACCCATTAAGTACCTACAGTGGCGTAGCCAGGATTTTGTCTTGGGAGGAGCAAATTTGCAGGAAATGTTTGTTGCGTCCCCACCGTGACCGCTGCCAGAGGCCAAGCGCCGTAGGCGCGAAATTTTCGGGTGCCACGCCCCTTTTTTAGGTTTCTTTACGCTATTTTTGGTACTGTTTATTTTAATTTTGAAGAATTATTCATGAAATTTAAGGGTCTTGGGGGGGGGGGGGGGGGGCAAATGCCCCCTTGCCCCCCCCTGGCTACGCCAGTGAGTACCTACCTAATGAGGACGTTTTTAGTTTTCTTGGACATTTCAGCCTACCATGATGGGTTTATTATCAATTATGCAATTTTTGCCATCATTATTTATTTCTGAAATAGATATCCTATTTATGACGCCTGGCATATAATACCAGGTAATAGGAAGATATAAATAAGTATATATTTTTTTTTGCTAAATTTGCTAAAAATTGCTGAGATTTAGCTCCATCCACAATTTGGGCCGTTTTGGACCAGTCATGATACTGGCACATCTGCTTACAGGCATGAAGGTGGCGAAGCAAGAATAATTTTTCAATTCAATTCAAATCAAATATGCTTTATTGTCAAATAAAAACAGTTTGTTACATAGACAAAGCAGTACTTATGATGAATCTAAATAGTACCTAAATCTTAAGCCTAAGTTAGAAACTAATGAACAGTAAAAAAGTAACAAACAACTAAGTAGCCAAAAACAATAAACAATCGGCGCAAACAACAATTAAAACAAACCAGAACTTGAACAAACCAACAGATAGAAAAATAAATATAAAATTAACATCAAATTTAAAAATTTTACACAAGGGAGGTACCTACAAAGTTGTTTATATGCAAATAGTGCAGCCAATTATAGCAAATAGTAAAAGTAGATGGTAAGTACCGAGTTCGGAAAAAGTTTTTCTTACCGCGAAACTACCGACTGATAGTTTTTTTTTATTCAAGTAAGGAATGTGAGAGAAGAAATTCAGTTTGTTATCGTAGTCTAGGCAAGTTAGATGTTGAACCTGAAAAAATTCTATACAAGCAGTTCTTAACAAAAATGTACGAGGAGTAACGTTCTAAACAACATACTAAAAGTCCCATGGATTATGTCTCTGGCAAGTTGAAAAAAACGGCCGCCATTTTGTTTTTTACATTTTATTGCAAATATCTCAAAAACTATCAGGTTTATGAGGAAAAGTGTAGGGATATTTTTCACTTAAAATGCAAATTTACATTTGTTGGGATGTATCAGCAACATGTATTTAAATAATTACTGACTTTTTCCAGTTTCACAAAAGAATAGGTACCTACTACGTTCAATTATAAGTAATATCATCTTCATCATTTTCATATACGATGCACGAATTCCAGCAAATCATTCCTGAGCATTGACTTATTTTGCAGAACATTTTAATCCAAGTTTTCTGCAGGAGCATGCCTTGTTGCATGTCCCTTCCTTGCAATTACAGAATACCATTTTTAGTATATCAGAGGGGGCAATTTCTTTTGTTACGGATGTAGGCGCAAGATGTTCATCTCTATCTCGTTCCCATCCATAGAATAACGGATCTAACATATCCCATCCACTCTTGTATCTTAAAATTACATACTATATCTAATCCAGGTTTTCATAACTAATCCTCGAAATTAGCTTACGGTGCATACCTGAGTAAATGCACTGTTCTACTTTTTTAAAGATTCCAATAAGTTACAATAGCAGGCCCCAGGCCACTGGCGCCTAGTACATGGGGGCATTGGGGCAGGTGCTCCCATAAGCAACCTTTCATGGGTGCTCGGAGCTCTCGTGGGTATCATGTAATTCAAATTTACACAACTTTTTATAATATACAAGTGGTATTAGTCTTAGATTAGGAAGGTATTAGTATTCTGTCCTTTTGTTATTTGTGGTCAGTTCTATGCTCTATTACTTTATATTGCTAATGTTGCTATTCTCCATCTCCATCTCTATTCTTTGATAATAATCGGGACATGAGGCATTTTAGGACATAAAAGTATCAGGGTAACCTTAAATTGCATAATTATTCTACACTCATCAAAATAGTCTGGGAACAAGAAATATCTGTCTTTTAAGTTTAAGATAAAACAAGTTTTTTTCAAAGATAACGTGGGTACTCTTTATTGAACAAATCTTATCAAAATTACCATGTCGGCTTTTTTTTCAAAGCTTGTTTAGTTTAAATATTTTATAATAAAACCAGCAAAAATTTTTCATGAGTATAGGTATTATCTATTGTTCCCTAGACCATTTTGATGTGTGTACTTTTCCGCATACTAGTGCGAAGAAGTGATATTTTTCTGGCCTGAAATGCGTGCAGAAAGAAGCACTTTTCGCACGCTCGTAGAGAAAAATAGAAAAATATACAGGTCTGGCAAGCCAGCATCTTACAGGCCAATTTTAATGCAATAGAATGAAATGTATAGGAAGAGTCCAAGGTTAAATAGAGAACGAAAATGATTTCCCCTGTTCCACCTCCAGCATGCAGCGCTTGGAACGCTGGAGGTGGAACAAGGGAAATCGTTTCCGTTCTCTATTCAATTTTAGACTTTTTCTAGACGTTTCATTCTATTGCATTTAAATTGGCATGTAAGATGTTCACTTGCCAGACCGGTATACATTATGAAAAAATTTCGCCTTCGCCAGCGCCTGCGGCGAGCTTCCCCCTCGCCCTATAAACAAAATAAAAATATTATCCTGCACCCATGAGGACTTTCAAAAATCGGCGCCTCTGCCAGGCCCAGCCTAGGCCCACCCTAGGCCCCCCAGGTCAGATGGCTAGTTACGCCAGTGCTATTAAATAATTGTATACGGGACACCTTAACATAATTCTGATTAATTTTAATAATGCGAAAATTTTTTGAGTTGATCCGTTCGCTTGTATTTAATATCTGTGAATACTTTGCCTATATTTTTTGTTAGTACTGTTCTTCCAATTTTATTTGCTAAATCGCAGTTTATATCGGATTTAGCTATTCATCCAGAGAAAACTGACATGAACTCCTAATTCCTTGCATTTATAAGGATTGTATTTTAGCCAATCTTGAATTTTTCGCGAATCAGTTTTGTCACGCGTGAGCGACTCAATTCTATATGCTGTTCTGAAGTCACAGACTTAGATTCCAAAAGCTTTTGTAAAAGGCATACAAACTGACATATCAGCAATGTGACGCTTTAACCTTTCTCTGGCCCGTAGGACAAATATTTGGTATGGCCTTTCATGAGTGATTGTTTTTTTTATAGGGTTTAATAAAATCATTCAGACGATTTCAAACTACTACCTAACCTGGCAGAATATGAAGACAAAAAATGTTGCCAAGTAGTATTAGGTTAAATCAAAGAAACAAAAATGGTCACAAAACATGCTATATGGTCGGAACTTCCTAAAAGAAAATGATGGCATATGAGCTCCCAGCCTACCAATCAACACATATGGATGCTGGGGACTAAGTGATGTACTGATGGGTGCTTCAGAAGAACAGCTGCATAGCTTGGGATCAAATCCATTAGCGAGGAAAAGATGCATAAACGGTTACAACTACAACAAGAAAAATTCGTACCACGTTCAGTGGCGGCGCCAGGGTTTCATGTTAGGGGGAGCCAGACTGGGTCAGAAATATTTAGGGGGGGGGGGGGCACTTGTTTTTATTTAACTGCTTCTCTTCTTTGGAATAAAAAATGGGAAGTACCGACCTGTCGATACTAATATGTTTGGGGGAATCCTAGAAAAGCGAAAGCAGCG